GGCTCAGGTCATGATCCTGGAGTCCCGGGATCGAGTCCCGCATCGGGCTCCCTGCTCGGCAGGGAGCCTGCTTCTCCCTCTCCCGCTCCCCCCTCTTGTGCTCTCTCTCTCACTCTCTCTCTCAAATAAATAAATAAAATCTTAAAAAAAAAATAATAATAATTTTCAAAAAGACTCGTCTGTGTGCCTGCCTACAAGAGACTCACTTCAGAAGTAAGGATACACACAGAATGAAAGGGAAGGGATGGAAAAAGATATTCCATACTGGAAACAAAAAGAAAGCTGGCGTAGCTATATTCATATGAGACAAAATAGACTTTAAAACAAAGGCTGTAATAAAAGAAAGGAAGGGCATTACGTAATGATAAAGAGGTCAACCCAACAAGAAAATAGAACATTTATAAATATATATGCATCCAACATAGGAGCACCAAAATATATAAAGCAAATATTAACAGACATAAAGGGAGAAATTGACAATATAATCATAGTAGGGGACTTTAACACCCCACTTAAATCAGCGGATAGATCATCCAGACAGAAAATCAATAAGGGAACATTGGCCTTAAACAGTACAGTAGACCAGATGAACTTAATAGATACATACAAAACACTTCATCCAAAAGCAGCAAGATACATATTCTTCTCAAGTGCACATACAACATTCTCCAGGATAGATCATGTTAGGCCACAAAAGAAGTCTCAGTACTTTCAAGAAGATTGAATTCATAGCAAGCATCTTTTCTGACCACAGTGGTATGAAACTAGAAATCAGTTACAAGAAGAATCCTGGAAAAACCACAAAAATGTGGAGAATAAGCCAACACACTACTGAACAACCAATGGGCCATCAAAGAAATCAAAGGAGGAATTTTTAAAAATGCTCAGGAACAAATGAAAAAAGAAATCTATGGGATTGCAACAAAAGTGGCTCTAAAAGGGAAGTTCGTAACAATACAGGCCTACCTGAAGAAACAAGAAAAATCTCGAACAATAACACTTTACACCTAAAGGAACCAGAAAAAGAAGAAGAACAAAGCTTCAAAGTTAGTAGAAGGAAGGAAATATGATCAGGGCAGAAAGAAATGAAATAGAGACGAAAAAGATCAGTGGAACTAAATGCTGGTTCACAGAAAAGATAAAATTGACGAACCTTTAGCTGGACTCACCAAGAAGAAAAAAGAGAGGGCTCAAATAAATAAAATCAGAAATGAAAGAGAACTTAGGATACCACAGAAATACAAAGAATTATAAGGGGACAACTATGTACAGTTATATGCCAACAAATTAGAAGAAATGGATAAATTCCTAGAAACATATAATCTTCTAAGACTGAATCACAAAGAGATAGAAAATCTGAATAGACGAATTACTAGTAAGGAGACTGAAGCAACAATCAAAAACCTCCCAACAACAGAGTCCAGGACCAGATGGCTTCACTGGTGAAATCTACCAAACATTCAAAGAAGAATTAATACCAGTTCTTCTCAAACTCTTCCAAAAAACAAAAGAGGAGGGAATTCTTCCAAACTCAGTTTATGAGGCCAGCATTACCCTGATACCAAAACCAGACAAGGATGCCACAAAATAGTAAAATGACAGACCAATATCCCTGATGAACATAGATGCAAAAATCCTCAACAAAATATTAGCAAACTGAGTTCAGCAATACATTAAAAGGATCATATACCATTTATTCTGGACCTACAGGGATACAGGGATGGTTTGATCTACAAATCAATCAACATGATACACCACATTAACAGAATGAAAGCTAAAAATCCTATGATCATCTCAGTAGATGTAGAAAAAACATTTGACAGAGTATAACATCCATTCATGATAAAAACTCTTCACAAAGTGGGTATGGGGAACGTAACTCAATGTAAGAAAGGCCATATATGACAAACTCACAGATAACGCCATACTCAGTAGTGAAAAACTGAAAGCTTTTCTTCTAAGATCAGAGGCAGGACAAGAATCCCCCCCCCCCCCAACACACACTTTTATTTAACATAGTACTGGAAGTCCTAGCCAGAGCAATTGGCAAGAAAAAGAAATAAAAGGCATCCAGATTGGAAAGGAAAAGGTAAAACTGTCACTATTTGCAGATAAAATGTTACTATATAGAGAAAACCCTAAAGACACCACCAAAAAGCTACTAGAACTAATAAACAATTCACTAAAGTTCTAGGATGCAAAATCAATATACAAAATTCCGTTGCATTTCTACACACTAATAATGACCTATCCAAAAGAAAAATATATCCCATTTATAATTGCTTCAAAAAATAAAATACCTAGGAATAAATGATCAAGGAGGTGAAAAACCTGTACACTGAAAACTATAAGACATTGATAAAAGAAATTGGAGACTACACAAATAAATAGGAAAATATACCATGCTCACGGATTGGAATAATTAATATTGTTAAAATGTCCATACTATGCAAAGCAATCTGCAAATTTAATGTAATCCCCATCAAAATTCCAATGACATTTTTCACAGAAGTAGAACAAATAATCCTAAAAACTTGTATGAAACTACAAAAGACCCTGAATAGCCAGTGGAATCTTGAGAAAGAAGAACAAAGCTGGAGGTACCATGCTCCCTGATTTCAAACTATACTACAAACCTTAGTAATCCAAACAGTACGGCACTAGAATGAAAACAGACACATAGATCAATAAAATAGAATAGAGAGCTCAGAAATAAACCCATGTTTATATGGTCAGTTAATCTACAACAGAAGAGGCTGGAATATACAATGGGGAAAGGACAGTTTTTTAAATAAATGGTTGTTAGGAAAACTGGACAGCTAAATGCAAAAGAATGAAACTGGACTCCTGTCTTAACCATATACAAAAATTAACTCAAAGTGCATTAAAGACTTGTATGTATGACCTGAAACCATAATACTCTTAGAAGAAAAATAGGTAGCAAGCTCCTTGACACTGGTTTTAGTGATTTTTTTTTTAATCAAATTCCAAAGGCAAGGGGACAAAAGCAAAAATAAATGAGACTACATCAAACTAAAAAGCTCCTGTACAGTGAAGGAGGCCATCAACAAAGCGAAAAGTCAACCTACTGAATGGGAGAAGATATTTGCTAATCATATATCCACTAAGAGTTCATATCCAGCATATATAAAGAATTCATACAACTAAATAACAACAACAACAAAAAACTGATTAAGAATTAGGTGGAGAATCTGAATAGACATTTTGTTCAAAGAAGACAGATGGCCAGCAGGCACATGAGAAGATGCTCAAGATCACTAATCCTCAAGGAAATTCAAGTCAAAATCACAGTGAGATATCACTTTATACCTGTCAGAATAACTAAAATCAAAAACACAAGCTACAGTGTTGACGAGGATGTGGAGAAAAAGGAACCTTCATGCACTATTGGTAGGAATGCAAACAGGTGCAGCACTGTGGAAAACAGGAGTTTCCTCAAAAAGGTTAAAAATAGAATTACTGTATGACCCAGTAATTCCACTATTAGGTATTTACCCAAAGAATACAGAAACACTAATTCAAAAAGATAGTATGCACTTCTGTGTTTACTGCAGCATTATTTACAATAGCCAGTTATGGAAGTAACCCAAGTATCCATCAGTAGGTAAATGGATAAAAAAAAGATGTTTTACACACACACACACACACACACACACACACACAGAGGAATATTACGCAGCCATAAAAAGAATGAAATCTTGCCATCAGAGAAAGATAATTAAGTGAAATCTAAACAACAAAACAAATAAAACAAAACCAAACCTAGACTCATAAATACAGAGAACAGAGTGGTGGCTGCCAGAGGGGAAGGGGGTTTGGGCTGGATGCCGAATTGATGAAGGGGATCCCGAGGCACAATCCTACAGTTATAACATAAGTACATCATGCAGATGTAATGTACATCATGGGGAATAGAGTCAAGTAATACAGTTGACCCTTGAACCATGCAGGGCTTGGGGCACTGACCCTTCATGCAGTTGAAAATCTGTGTATAACTTTTGACTCCCCAGAAACTTAAAGTACTAACAGCCTACTGTAGACTGGAAGCCTTATCCATAACATAACCAGTCAATTAACAGAGATTTTGTATGATATGTATATTATATACTGTGTCCTCACAATGAAGTAAGCCAGGGAAAAGAAAACACTATTAAAAAGATCGTGGGAAGAGAAAATATATTTACAATACTGTATTTATTGAAAAAATCCACGTATAAGTGGACCTGTGTTGTTCAAGGGTGAGCTGTATTGTATTAATTTTGTATGGTGACAGATGATACCTAGACTTGCTATGGTGATCATTTGCAATGTGTACAAATGTCGAATCACTATGTTTTACACGTGAAACTAATAGAATGTTATATGTCAACTATATTTCGTTAAAAAAGACTGAATTATCTTTCTGGTAACCGTAAAAAATATGTTGTGATATGAATAAGCAGTCAAAGATTATACTGACAGATATATACGGAAACTGTCCTACAGATCTGTATCCGGTAGTTTATTAATAAAATTACAGTTGACTCCTGAATAACATGGGTTTGAACTGCACGGGTTCACTTATACATGGATTCTTTTCAATAAATACCTATAAATGTATTTTCTCTTTCTTATGATCTGTTTACTAGCATTTTCTTTTCCTGAGCTTACTTTATTGTGAGGAACAGTATATAATACATATAATGCACAGAATCTGTGTTAATTGACTGGGTTGTATTATGGATAAAGCTTCTGGTCTACAGGAGGCTGTTAGTACTTAAGTTTCTGGGGCGTCAAAAGTTACAGGCAGATTTTGGACTGCACAGGGGGTCAGCACTCTTAACCCCTGCCTTATTCAAGTTTAACTGTAGGGTTATTTTTCTGGATTTTGTGATGATTATCATCTTTCTAAGATTGTAATTTGCTGTGATTTCTTTCCTCATTCCAAATACATATTCTTTTTTTACATTAAAAAAAAGAAATAATAACGACAAATGACTGACCGCCTCCTTTCTGTCGGACTCTGTGCAGGATGCTTGATTTTCTTCTCTCATGTAGTTCTCAGGAGGGCTCTTCAGATGGGGAGAAGGGAGACTCAGGAGGTTCAGTCCAGTGCATAGGGTCCCAGAGCTGGGGAACGGCTGAGCTTTGGCCTGGCGTCTATCCCACCTTGGTCCTCACGCAGGAATGGGGGCACCCAGTAGTCATGGTCCCAAGTAGCATAGTTGCGGAAGGTGTTTCTTTTTTCTTTATGCTTTTTAATATTTCCCTCCTCCTTTTTCTTGAGTTAGTATTTGTTACTTTTATCATCAAATGAAAAATACATTTAAATAAGTTAATGCAATAACCCAAGATTTGTATTGTATTTTTTGTAGTATTTACATTAATCAGTCTTTTTTTTTTTTCCTACCCATAAAGGGCTTGTAACTCAATATTCACTGCATTAGAGAGAAGTCAAGAAGCAATTGAAATTACAAGTGAAGACCACATTATACAGGTTTGTTATTTGGAAAGTTCATTTTTCTGAATTTCTGGGATTGTTTGTTCTTCTAGGACTGAACCCCGCCAGTATGATCTTTTTTTTCTTTTCGAAGTTCAAGAGCCCAAGTTTTCCTTAGAGGATTATCAGAACAAAATTTATAAAATATGTACTTTAAAATAAGTTCCTTATAGATAAGAAAAGGTACTAATAATTACTTAAGGTGCTAGAAAATATTCTGTGGAAATACCACATTTGCATTTATTACTGTTCACCTTTTTGTTTATTTATTCAGCAAGAGGAGACTTTTATCCAAAGGGATTACCACTGGAGTAGGAGGAGGCTCTGACCATAAGGTCTGCAAGCTCTTGCCTTTCTCACTGTTTTTGAAGATCGTTTACACCTAAAGAAATTTACTAGAAACTACTCAGAATTTCCAGAATAACCTAGTAGTTGCTGAACAAATTACCCATTATTAGCAAAGCAGATTCATAAAAGCGGCTTAAGATAACATAACTTGTACTTTTAGATAACAAAAGAGGGCTTGTACCAAGGAAATGCTCCTTTTGTCTGGGAATCAGCTGCACTTTGATGTCTGTTCTGAGCACTCCAGCTCTTCACTTTAATCTCACTTGAGCTTGCTCAGGAAGGAGCTGCCGATCGATTGCGGCTTTCAGGGGTCAGTGTCCTGAGAGGCAGCCTGGGCCAGTGCTGAGGGTACAGGCTGGTGGCAGGTGGGCCGCGGTTGCAGGCAGCTGCCACGCCTTCCTAGCTGAGCATCGCTGGGCAAGTTCCTTAGTCTTTCTCAGCTGTACAGATGGGAATGATAGTCGTACTCACAACCACCTGCCTTTTGTCAGGAGGTTCTAAGTGGGTGAGTGTATGCAAAGTGCTCACTCCGGTGTCTGGCAAGGAAAATAGACCTTAAGCGATATCAGTTATTGCTTTATCAGCATCACTATTTTATTGTTATTACTATTAGCACATGCACAACTTTCCTATACGTTTTCTTCTAGTCTTGTGGTCCTCTCTGAAATTTAGCCATACGGCCTTGCATCTGTAAACATTTCCCAGTTCGTAGCCTGCTTTCCCAGCGCATTATTCATGTGTATCATGTGAGAGCAGCAACCTAGAGGTTTCATTCCCATTAAACAGATACACAGACTGAGACTTAGAGGGTTAAGTCACTTGCTGGAGGAGAGCCTGGGTGCTTTGCACTTCAGTCTGGTGCTTCATTCTACTATGTCATCATCCAAAAAGCCCTTTTGTAGCACCTCAGGCCTGTCTCCACGTGGCTTCTTTCCTCTGTTGGTGTTCAAGTGGGATGGGGCCAGCTCCTCTCTCTGGGGCCCCAGGGACCACGGCAGGAAGCCCAGCCAGGTGTCCCAGAGCAGAGGCTTCTCTGGACTCCAGGGATCTCCTGGGGTTATGCTCTTATGGCTTTAGAACTGTCACGGTAAGCTCCAGGCTCCTGAGCTTTCTGGGCAGAAAACATGATAGCTTGGGGTGAAGAGCCTTGATTGTCCTCTTTTCAAATTCTCTTTTAATTTGCTTGATGTTGTTTCTCTTGTCTCCCCCCAGTATGCAAATCCTGCATTTGAAACAACCATGGGCTATCAGTCAGGCGAATTAATAGGAAAGGAGTTAGCAGAAGTGCCTATAAATGAAAAAAAGGCTGATTTGCTCGATACTATAAATTCATGCATCAGGATAGGCAAGGTAAGTAAGAGGTCAGTACCTTTTTTACTTTCACGAAACAAAGAGGAAAGGAAGGAGACGTATTCACTGAGTGTTGGTGCGTGCCAGGTGATCTGAGTCTTACTCTTCGCAGAAGCCCAGGGGAGTGTCAGTGATGTCATCCCTATTATTCCCATTTTGCAGATGAGGAAACTAAGATCAAGAAAGTGTAGGATGTGATCAGCTATTATGCAGAATAACTTAGATTGACACTTGAAATCAGTGTCTTCATCTTTGTAATAAGTAAATTGACCTTGCTAATAATGGATCATCTAAGTGGTAGATGTTGGCAAGTGGCTTAGGGTAGAGGATTGCCAGTGGGGTCCGAGTCTCAGAACACATCTGAGCCCAGCAATTCTCTGAGCCTCGTGCATCTGTCCAGCCTTTTTTGGAATGTCTCCTGTGTGCCGGCACTCTGCTAGATTCTGGTATAGAAAGAGGGGCAAAACATAAACAGCTGCCTTAGAGAACTTCTATTCCAGGCTGTGAACACAACAGGTCACATAATCACGGCGCTGGAGGGACAGACAGAAGGCAGGCAGGCTCAGTCTGAAAGGACATTTCTCAGAGCACTAGCTTCTGCCGCACCTCACTGTTACTGGGTTTTCAGGTGTGATGACAAGGAAAAGGCTATTGCTTCTCATAGTCTTTCCTGCTGGGCTCTTTTTAACTTTAGGAAGTTGGGGAGAGACTATTAATCTGATCATTCAAAACACTTGACAACACTGGTGACCTGCTGTCTGGCCTGCTCCTCTGTGGCATCCGGCCAGCATCTTTCCCGTAGCCCAGCAGAGCATTCTGTCATGGGGGCAGAAGGGCTCTGCCGAGCCTGTACCCCCACTTTACCTGGGCCCTTGAGACGCTGTTTGTGGGCTCGTGTCCCTTTGCTCTCCCGTGGCTCTGAGCACACCAGTTTGCCTTGCAGTGAAAACAAGGAGAGGGCAGGCTGGCTGTGAGGGCCCAGTGACCTACGCCCAGGGGAAAACAAGAGTAGGCACAACCCGAATCCCATTCTGCCTCCACCTTTCTGTCAAGGATGATGATTTTCTTGCTGGCGAGAGGCAGGTCCTTTGGAAAGAGCAATGAAGGCTGAGATGGATGAAGAGCCCCTCAGGTGCTCAGGCATAGTGCCTGAGCTGGACTCCGGGTTCCCTCGCTCAGTTAGAAGGGGCATCCTCAGAAGGCAGTGACCAAACAGCAGTCTTCCTGACCCAGCAGCCTTGGGGGGCTTTACCGTGGCCTTCCCAATCCTGCTAGAGAAGGGGTCAGCCGGTGGTTTTGTTGTGAGGGTCGGGTGGGCATGAGCCAGAGAGGACGGCCCTCATGTGCCTCGATCTGGCCACAGGGACACCGAGGCATCCCACCCGTCACTGAGGAGAGTGAGTGGAGATGGGGAGGGGCGGTTAGTGGATGAGCACGAGGCCCTGGGGTCCATCCAGATCCGTGTGAACAGCGTCTCGCCTCCTAAGTGATGTTACTGGCACCAGGTACAAAGGGCCTCGAGCCTGAGCAACAGGAGACCTGTTCTCTAAAATCTGTGTTTATCGTGAGCAGAGAATATGAAAGATTATCATATTGTCAACCTCAGTACCACTTTATTTCAAAAAGGAGCGTGGTTGTTTATTTGTCGTGTCTTGGAGTTCCTGGGGAGGCAGACGAGCAGCCACTTGCCCTCTGTCGCTACCCGGCTGATTTGCTGGCAGCGCTGCAGCAGGGCTGGCCGCTTAGTTGGGCGGACTTTTTGAGGTGAAAGAATATATGGCCTTTCTGATTGAGTCTCCCTAGGGAGGGAGAAGCAGGGCTTGCTGAGGGGTCAGCCAGCCCTGGGTGACAGCGGCACTGGGCTCAGTGGAGAGAGCTCAGAGGTGCCCTGGGAACCAGAATGGGGACCCAGGCAGTGGTTAGGTGACGGGCGGGGGCTTCAGAGGGTCAGAGCCCAGGTGTGCCACTTGGGGGCGGAGAAGAAATTCTGATGTTCAGAGAGCCTGGCAAATACGGCTCTCCACAAACCCCCTCCACCTGTTGTTCTCAGCCTGCGGCTCCTCTCCGGGGTACATCGCTACTATGACATGACCTTGATCTTCAGCCTCCACGCTCATATGCTGCTTTGCATCCCCATGTATATCCTTCCCGATTCCCTCCCTTTCCTCATCCCCAAGACTTCTCTGGCAAGGCTCTAGAACCCACACTCTCCTCTTCTCACGCACCAGGGGCTCTTCCCTTGCAAATCGTGTCTCGTAGGTGCCGAGTAAATGTTGGGGGCTCGATGCTGGCCTGTAATCATGACGTTTGGCTGCAGAGCCCTCTAGCTTTTAGAAACTTGGAGCTCCCGTGGTGCCTCTACTTTCCTCCCTCACAGGCTCCCCTCTTCTTCCAACTCTTCTTCACGTTTCCTCCCGGGTTTACCAGGGTTCTTCGTCCCTGCTGTGTTCCTCAGAAAGCTCCTTGTTAGCTGCTCTGCATAGATGACCCACTCCTCCCCACTTTTAGCCCCAGCTGCTCTCCAAGGTCTCGTGCAACTTCCTGGCATCATCTTGAAATCACCTTGTCTAACAGCGACTTTTCTCTCATCCCCATTAACCAAAAAACCCATGCTCTCCAGCCTCTGCCATCTCTGCTTGTTGGCTGGCCTCACACTTGCCTGGGCTTCCATTCCTGGAATGGTTTTACTTCCTCTCTACCCTTCAGTGTCCAGGGGGCCTCCTTCCCTGCCCTGGGCTGTGGTGGCTGAATCCAGTCAGGGCCCTTTGCCCTGGGACCTCCACCTCCAGTCAGCACACTCGACGCTCCCCAGGGGTTAGTCTGATCACACCGCTCCCCCAGCATAGAGTTCACATCCCTTGGCCTGGCTACAGGGATTCTACACTCTGACCTTGGCCTACCTTTTCCATTCGGGGAACAAAAGCCCCAGTGTCCCTTGACCGTTGACCATGTGCAGGCCCTGCGCAAGCCCTGGGGCCAGAGCAGCCCGATGACTGGGCGCCCAGAGCGGGCTGTCTCAGCAGAGAAGTCCAGCTCGGTGCTTAGCCTGCCCCAGAACAGAAGCGGGGTGTGGGCCTTAGTACAGTTCTGAGGGGACCCGGCCCGGGGAGGCCTGTGCAAAACCCCCTGGGCCGGAAACAGGCCATTTACTGAATGTTTGCTGTGTGTCTGACTTCGCTCAGACTTTCTGTGCATTACCAGATGTGATCTTCATAATCGCATTCTAAGGTAGTACTGTGTTATTCTTAAGAACTAAAACTCATGTATTTATGATAGGTCAGTATTTTTGATAAGAAATATGATCTGTGGTAAGTAAGAAGTTCTTGTTTCTGTTAGTGACTGGGGAACTTACAGGCCCAGCTGTTCCCCAAGCAGAGGCACTGGCTCAGTTTCCCTGATCCTCAGCTGCACCGCTGAGCCCTGGCTGAACTGGCTTCTTAGTCCCCTGCTTGGGATCTGGCGGCTGCTCACGTCTATGCAGAAAGGATTGGAGAAGGTCCTGCATATGTATTTTAAAGTGCTGATTGATGGATGGACTGAACCGGTCTCCCATTTTTCTCCCTCTCTTTTGTATAACAGCTCTATTGAGAGAATTCTCCATTGAGAATAATTGAGAATTCACATACTATACAATTCGCCCATTTAAAGTCTACAGTTCACTGGTGTCTGGTCTATTCACAGAGTTTTGCAAACATCACCACAACCAATTTCCCCCATTTCTCTGGATAGTGAGCTTCAGAAGTAAGTCTTGTACCTGTCTGCAGCAGCCTCCTGCGGCGGATACGTGGGCTGTGCATATGGAAGGCAGGCGGTAGCCCTCTGCCTCGGAACCCCTGTTTAGCCCTTGCCTGGCACAGGCCAGTCTCCCCTCAGAACTGTAGTGCGTAAGACCCTCACCTCCCTTCTGCTCGGGGCCAGTAAGCACGGAGCTGGGCTCTCGGGCTGTCTCATACTTTAGTCCTTCCTTGGCGCACAGTGTTTTCAGAAGTACACCGGGGAGCATCAGGAACCATCCTTTGCTTCTGTCAGAATGTCCTGGCTTCTGCTGCATCCACTTTCGTAGAGGAGCCTGAAGGGGAGATTCTCCTGTTGGCATTTGCATGCAGGTTGCCAGGCTGGAAGCATGGAAGATTCCAGAACGGACCCTGTGTAAGGGTCTGGACAGGAGATTTGAGCTAGCCACCGAGGCTGCCGTGGTGGTCTGCTTCCTGCCTCGGTCAGCCCCAGGTCCTAAGGGATCTAGAAGGTCAGGAAGGTTAGGGAACACCCTAAGAGTTGAGTGTCCTGCAGTGGATTTTAGGGCTATTTCTAGCTTAAGCACCTTGGTGACTCTTGGAGGAATTCAGAACGTTTTAGGTGGTGACAAAACCCAGCTCCGTCCCAGGCTTCTCTGCACTTCCCAAGAGTAGGGGTACCACCGCCAGCCCCCGTTCTCACTGTGGTCATGGCCTGCGCACACCTCCTCTTGCAGACTGTGGTTTCACTCGGATCCATGCGTATTCTGTCTGATCGTGAGAGCACGGCTGATGAGGCTGTGGCCCTGGCTTTTAAGGTCTCACCGATTTCTCCTCCCTGAGTCCGGACCTGTCTGTGCTCCTCCTCCACCTCCCTCACATGTCCCAGAGGGTGGTAGCAGGCCACTGTGCTAGTGGCAGCAGAGGTGGCCCCTTCTCTGCCCCTGTCCCGAGGTTTGCCACCTCCCAGATGCAGGGGCAGAGGCCATGCCACTCCTCCACTGCAGCAGGCAGGGGCTCGGAGAGTGCGAGGAGCCTGGGCGCTGCAGCCAGGGAGCATTCTTCACTCGTGGGCCCAGGCCCTCTTTTGCCAGCAGACAGCCCCTGAAAACCTGTGACCACTCACACCGTGGCGAGCTGGCGTTTGGACTCAGGGGAAAGGGTCACATACCCAAAATTGTGTTTGTGGTTGGGATAATTTTTTATCCTAATTGCTTTAGCCATGGTAAATGAATCAGAACCTGAAGTGGAAGATGTTCTTGGGTTTATGTTTTGAATGCACGGTATAATGATGCTTACATTCCATTTATAGGAGTGGCAAGGAATCTACCACGCCAAAAAGAAAAATGGAGATAATGTGCAACAAAATGTGAAGATAATACCTGTCATTGGACAGGGAGGGTAAGTGGAAAAACCAGGTACTCCAGTCAACATGCCATGTTTGGCTTAGTGCAAAATTTGCTCTGAATACTTCAGTAAGCTAAGAACTGCATGCAGATATTTAAAAGAAAGACTTGTCACAAGGTCAGGTGTCATCAGAGAACAGCCTTCCAGGTTACAGCATCTTCATGGCTGCAGCCTGACACCATCTCCCCCCCCCCCACCGCCGCCCCCAGCTTGCGGCCCAGAGCCACCAGGCTCCAGACGGTCTTGCTTCCGCTGCATGGACCAAGAGAGACTGAAGTATTCCCATTAGAATGTCACGTTATTAAGCTGTGTGGTAAGAACACTGACTGGTAGACTCCCTATCTTTAAAAGATTTTTAGCTAATATGAAAGCCTGTGTATTATTTCTGTGCAAACCTATCAGACTAGATAAAGGTATTTAAAATCTTCCCATTTATAGCAACTCTCATATAAAACAGATGTGACTACAGGGCGCCTGGGTGGCTCAGTTGGTTG